TATCGTGACCCGGTTTAAATGATAAAATAAATATAATGATTGAAATAGGCGATGCTAAAACAAAGTGACAATTCAAATGATTTATTAACAAACTGAATTTACAACATTAAATCTAATATCGTTTCTTTTTTTTTTTTTTTTTTTCATAAAAGTCGAAAAGTATTTTGAAGAAAAACCAAAAATATTTATTATTATTGCTTGACAAGTAATTGCTAATCTTGAATTTTTATGAAAACAGATGTGGCGAAGTATCTACTTATTAACTGTTACACAGTTTTGAATATGAATTTCGTTATTAAAATTCTCAGAAAAGTCAATTGCATGTACAGAAAACAGGTAAAAGGTGTACATCAATTTTAAAAGGAAAAAATTCAGTTTTTTTCTAATAGTAAATGCTCTTTATGACTTGATCACTACTCAAAAAAGTTGTAATATTTATGTTTTATAAACGTTTGAAGTTTACTTAAAACTTTAAAAATTATTTTATAAATTACGTAAGTTTTACATAATACGAACTGAAAATGTCCGCGAATATTGACTTACTAATAATGTTATATTTATATATATATAACAAAATAGTAAACGTCAATTTTATGTTAAAATTCTGTTAAAATTCAGTTTCATCAAACATCAGATTTATGTTAAAACTATGTTTCATTTAACTGAATGTTCTATCTGAGCAGACAAGAAACATTAATAAAACTGCTTATTAATGTTCGAAACAAGTTTTAAAATACTTAAATATAACATAAGCATGATATGTGTATTTAACATAAATAAGATATAACGGATGTACTTCATATACATACCATATTACTCCAAAAAAGTAGGTAAGTAAATTATAATTTAAAAATTAATAAAAAAAATTAAGTATAGCTATAGCTCATTCAAATATATTACACTATTATATACAAATAAAATAATATATAATATTAAAGTTTGAATGACACAAGTAATTAAATATAATAATGTAAATAATACAATGCTTAAAATATTTCGTGGCACAACGATTACACAATTGCCTTATAATTTGACACTTGGACGAAAAAACACTTATACTTTAAATTAATCTCATGTATTAAACATAAATCACATAAATCATTAGTATTCACTATATGAATTCCAACTATATTAGATGAAATTGGCTTATCACTAAATTCTGTAACATTCATAAATTTTTTTACCATAAATTGAATTGGTTTGTTCATAGGCTTTATAATGTATTGTACTGTAACAAACAATAAATTTTAACATAGAAATTACTTATATTTTTTTTTTTTGTCACATTTATGTAAACATAGGTAAATGGATTAAACTATAAACATTATAACTAATATAAAGATGACCATATAATTAACCATGGTCATGTAAAAATTGTTTTAATAACTCAGATGCTATAGCAAATAGAAACAAAAGCGCAGCTTTATTTTCCGTTTCTGTCGTTCGCCGCAGTGAAATCATGTCGAAACCATAATGATCCGTTAAACACAGCTGTTGGCAAGTAGTAGGCGGTAGACTAACGTTATAGCTGTGAAGGAAGACGAGTTCTGAGTAAACTCAAGTTATATTTTTGTTTTTATGATGTTCCGGTAACGGAAAACTCACATTTTAACTGACAGAAACAGTTCAATGAAATTTAGAATCGTTTTACGAGCGCATATTTTACGAATCCTATGTATTGAATGAGTTTTTGTAAAATTCGTGTATAGTAGAGCCCAAATGTGAAAGTAAAGGTAAGAAACGAGTGTATGAGGAAAACGAGATATAAAATTTATCGTGCCTAGTCAAATCATATCATTCACTAGATGTATATTAGTGAATTTTATCGTCTCGTACAGTATTACTAGAATTCTAATATCGTTGGTAAAAATATCCTCGGATTTTAAATGTAAGAGGGTATGATGTTGGTATGATGTTGTACCGTAATCATTGAAGAAATATTTTATAATAATTACTTACATATCGTCGTCGTGGTCTTTCTTTTTTCGGTTTGTACGCCAATACCCATATGTATCCAATTTATCACAGAGCACCGACAGCGCTTTACAATCAATTTTAATAACATACAACGACCCTAGACTATTGACGACAGTGTGTCAGTATACATATATACTATATTATTACTATATTAGGGTGGTACTCAAAATATATTTTTTTATTTTTTTACGACCTCAAGCTCTCAATTTATTCTAAATGGTATATAAATGGTATTGTGAGAACATGAAGTAATTTATGAAACATTAAGTGGTCTCTCAAGTAACTTAAAATTATCAAATATGAGATAAATTTAAAAAAACAAAACAGTTTTGATTATATTAAAATAATTGAACTATGCTAAAAATATATTATAGAAGCCATTAAAATGTCGTCGATGAAAAATAATATAAGTACATAGATTTTAATAAATTATATAATTAATAAGGTTAATTTTTTCGAATTAAGAAACTCTTGTTTATATTTTTCGATGACTTGAAAGAGGTATTTCTGTTGTCCTTTTTTATTGGTAAGAGCTTTATTAAATTACGTTATTAATGCTATACCCTTTTCTGCTGAGTCATTTGTCATTTTTTCAAGTATTTTTTTATTTTTTCATATTCATCAAGGTATTCGTCATTATTTTTCCAAGTTTTTGGATATGTGTTTAAAAAGTCAATTTTAATATTAATAGTCGTAAAAAGTTTATATATATTTTATGTAACAAAGTCATAAAATTCACTATTTAAAATAAGATTTCTGGGAGTCTTATTGTATGTTCAAGGTTATCTAGTCCCACTTTTACCTAAAGCTTTTACAATTTTGAGTTTAATATCATCTGAAATTCGGTAGTCAAAAAATGCAAAGCCAATTAAATACGAGTATATCAATAAGATGCCATAAATATCCTTAAAATACTTTTAATGATAATTTATAGATTTTATTACTTGAATTTCCGTACTTATTCAGATATTTTAAGAAATTTAAATCATTTAGTTTTGCAACTGAAGAATCTGTAGAAATATACTAAACTTTTAAATATACTTTAATTATAAACAATGTAAACTGTTCTAAATTTGATACGTTAATTAAAATTGTGACTAAAATAAAAAACATTTTTAAACAATATATTACCTTGGCGATACACCTAGCTCAATGACAAGCCATTTTGGAAAACTATTCTTTTCTAGAAGCTCTTCTCCAAGCTAATATAAACTCAATTGCAATAATTCTTTGTTTTCTTCATGAGGTTGAAACTTAGTTAATTAATTAAATATAAATTTTACCATACCATTCTTTATCATATTTAATTTTGGTAATAGAAATGAACTCATCAATCCATTTTCAAATGAATCTTGATTTTTGTTGGTCCAAGAATTTGAAAATTTTTTAAACATTAGAATATCTTGTTCATTTGACGGATTAAATGATCAACAATTTTACCCACGATAATTTAAAAAATATGATGTTAACAAATCAGTTATAAACAAATTTTGTCCCAATTGTTTTTCTAGTAACACACAAACACCATTCATAAGTTATGTATTGCTAGCTGTTGTATCGAAAAACATAAATTGAATACGATTTAAGAAGGTCCAGTTATTGATGAAAATCATGAACTGCATCAGAGATAAATTTTCCCGCACCTCTTAATAACGGTGAAACTCCTAAAAGTTTTAAATTTTTATTTCCAAAAAATATAACGGTAAGACGATCTACGTATTCTGTTTTTGTTAAGATTTTTCCATCTTAATGAACTACTATTAAAACGGATGGATCGAATATCTTATATTTGCAGCAATTTGTTCTCTATGGTAACATCGAGTTCTTCGTATTGATTCTCTGTTTAAAGCTTTTACATTTAAATTAAACAATATTAAAGTAAAAGACAAGTAAAAAAAAAAAAAAAAATCACCTATTTAAGCGAGTGTCACCCTAATAATATATTGTTACAGTCCGATGCACATCGGGAATATTGTATCAATGTCTGTGAACGTACGAAATCAAACACATGGCAATTACGATAATAATTATTATGATATTATAGTAATCGACATGAATCCATCATCAGTGTAGTCGTTGTCGAAGTATGCATATAAATTATTGTTAAGTCAAGGGAGTGCCGTTAAAATGTAAACGATTAATCGAAAAGCAAACACACACACACACACACACACACACACACACACACACACACACACAGTGGGATTCATACCGTAGAAAAAAATCATCACCTACGGACGTGTTAGAAATTTCTCCAGAAATCTTCTTACCTATTATACTGCAGTTGTTGTACGCAAAGATTATGGTGGTAGTGGTATCAGTGGTATAATAACTTGAAAAGGATGTTTAGATTCTATACAAAAAAGGAAGCAAATGCGCATGCGAGAGGCGAAAGAAAAAATACCACTCCCGACGTTTCACATTTGTTTTTACATGTTATTTCGGATGGGATTTATAGACCTCGACGACGCTCTACCACCACCACTGTACTGTATACGAGTTGCGGAAAAATTACTATCAGCGCATTTTTTGACATATTTACTATACATATATACACACACACGTTTAATGGTTACAGGTGATTTATTCGAAAACGTTTATCATATTGTATTCACGCCTCTTAAGCCGGAAGATTTGCTTCGTAATCCAGTGAGCGATGTACGCGTTAGGTTAGGTTATGCGTTAGGTTATGCGCGTGTATGTGTGTGTCGATAAAACGATGATTAAATGCACGCAGTAGCAATTATCGCGATTGTAAACGTCGAGTAGACTCGCCGATTGGGATGGTTCGTCAGGGGAAACTTTGAGACTCCGTCTCCCCTTAAAAAAAAAAAAAAAAAAAAAAAAAAAAAAAAACAGATACTTGTTAATAATTATAATTTTAAAAATGTATAGAAATATTTTTGTTTTTTTTGGAAGTATGTTAAAGTGTTTTCTATAGTTATTATTATAAATTTAAGGCTACAAAATATAAAACCTATAAATATTTATTTCGATGTAAACACTAATTTAGTAATTTCAACGACGGTCGCCGTTTCATTGAAATTGACGTCCGACAAATTCAATCGTAACATGTAATAATTTGGCTTGTTGAACGAAGTGGGCCGGGAGAATAATCCGCGTATTATATACGCTATTGAAACTGGGTTCACAACGATAATTTCCATACCATAGCGTTGTCATTGTCGCTGTACATCGTCATCTGTGAATTCACAGATAAAAAAAATTGCAGAATTGAATTAGTTTATAAAAAAATTTACTATTAAACTAAGTTAAAAATATTAACAAAATATTGAATTAAGTATTAAGTATAATTAATTTTCCAATAAGTGTTTTTTTTGTTCGTTGTTGTATGGAGTTTATGTTAAATAAATTAAGTTTTTCATCGCTTTGTGTAAAATATAATACAGTGAAACCTCTGAATAGCGGACACTCTCGGTCGCCGAAATTTTGTCCGCTATTTAGAGGTGTCCGCTATTTAGAGGAAAATATTTTTTTTAACAAATAAATAAATTCATTAATTTTATTTTATATTACTTTTACATTAATTAAATACACGATAAAACTAACATTTATGAAAAAAAACCAGTTACCTAAATTTTTATTTTATTTTTACATTATTTAAATATGAAAACTAAAAAAATAAAAACTAATAAAAATAAAAAAAATCTGTTACTTTAGTTTGTTTACTAATTGCAGGCGTAGTTATTTCGTATGTTAAGGCATTTTCTAATTGGATTGTGTTTGAGAACAATGAACTATTCTGTACCTCGATAGAAGAAATATATGTACGTATGTCTTTTACTGCTAGCAATGCCTCTCGTAGACTTCTTATTTTTGGAATTTCTTGATCCTCGGACCCATCATTTTCTTCATCACTTTCTTCTTCATTTTGGGTAGACATGCTCGTAGTATCAGATGAATTTTCGATATCGGCGTCGTAAGTCTCTACGCAATCGTCTAGTGTTATGTAGTCATTTTCCGTAATTGTATTGTCAATCACTTTAATAAGATTGCCAAGTTCTTCTATTGGTGTAAGTAGATCATCAACGTCTGTAACATTGTTATCACGGTGCCTAAAGCCAGACCGCAAAAAGCATTTCTTCACTGTTTCGGGTTGAATGTTTTTTGTAGATGAAGACACCCAGTAAATTGCATCCATTATGTTGATAGGTTGACTTGAATTGGCATCCAAATCGGCAACAGCTTTACGTAACAATTGCGTACGATATAATTTCTTAAACTGATGGATTACTCCTTGGTCAAGCGGTTGGCAATGAGAAGTCATGTTAGGTGGAAAAAACACAAGTTCAATATTTTTCATTTTTAAATGTGGATGAGGAGCCGCGTTGTCTAAAAATAGTAAAACTTTTCTTTTATTTTGACCCATTCTGTTATCAAATTTCATAAGCCACTCAGTCATTATTTCAGTCGTCATCCAGGCTTTTTTGTTCCAAAACCAATTGACGGGAAAGTTGTTAATATCCAATTTTTTGAAGGCTCGTGGACGTTTAGCTTTGCCTATGACGAGTGGCCGTTCAAACTCACCTAACATGTTAGTACACAAGAGTACAGTTAAACGTTCTTTTGAAATTTTTCCTCCAGTACATATCTCATTTTTAAACGCCATGGTTTTATCTGGTAGAACTCTATAAAACAATCCCGTTTCATCTGCATTAAAAATATCGCATTCTGCGTAGTTTGCTATAATTTCGGGTATTTTTGCTTTCCAGTTATCAACGGCTTCTTCATCAACACTTGCTGCTTCACCACAAACTGATTTAAAAGAAATATTATTTCTTTTCCGAAATTTTTCAAGCCAGCCATTAGAGCCTTTAAAATCGAATCCGTGCATTTCAGCGATTTGCTTACTTTTTTCTTGAAGCATCGGTCCTGAAACAGGAAGATTTTTTTCTCGTAATTTTGAAAACCAGTTTAATACTTCATTGTTGATTATAGAGGTTTCTGTTTTTTGTAGCTTTGTCCATTTCCGTTTCTCTTCTCCATTTTCAGCCCAAGTTTTGTAAAGAGCGTCTTTATTTGCTATAATATCAGCAATTTGTGTTTTACTAACACTAAATTTGTCTGCTAATGCACGAACGCCCATTGTATTTGATGTTCGAAATTCCAGAATGTCTATTTTTTCTTTTAAAGTTAATCGTTTTCTTTTGCTAGCCATAGCGCACTACAATAAAGTTTGTATAAACAATACGTTAAATAAATAAATTCGCACTACAATAAACGTTGGCACCACAAACACAACTAAATGCACATAGGACAATGCATTAGTTACAATACTTCGTTGACGCGATAATATTTCAATGACTGAACAGATAAGATTTTCATGTACAGTATAATAATGTACACATAAGATAACGTTTTTATTCAGGTATTCTAAAGTAATTCTTAATTTAAGATAAAAATAACTAATATCAATGTCATAAAAGTGTCCGTTATTTAGAGTGTCCTGTATTTAGAGGTTTTCCTATATAAAAGTGGTGAAAATGTACCCGTCCCCGAAAAAACGTCCGCTATTTAGAGGTGTCCGCTATTTAGAGGTGTCCGTTAAGGGAGGTTTCACTGTATAATACTACGATTGTGATATGGTGTCGTAAACAACGCACCGCGAATCGTCCAAGTTGTTTACAATATTGTCAGTGGATAAGGGGAAATCCCATGTTCTAGAATATGCGATGATTATCTCGTTAAGGTAATTTCGAGAATGTTCTAGACAATCGACGCTGATATATATATATATATATACCGGCTGGTCAGACGCTCATTCAGTCAGTCCGTGAGTACAATCCGCGACACACCGTGAATTACACTCCACGATATATTCGGCAATTCCTCCGCAATTGTAACGCGTATCGATATTTGTACATACTTATTTATATAATATAGTGTTTTAATTAAATTAAATTGTGAGTGATTTTTATTACTTAAATCCCACAGTGATATGCCTAGGTAACCTAACTAACCTAACCCTTCGGGAAGCCTTGGCAAGCACGAATCGTAAGCTGTTACTCGGAGAAGAATGCGTTAATCCCATGAGATGTTTTAAGAATGTTGAGTTGAACTGATCAAAGATCCGTTAGCTGCTATTTCAGCGGACATATAACCAAAAACTAACAGAAGCAAGATTTCGTATAAACCTCAACCCGACAAAGGTAACTAGTAATCTACGTGCAATTTACCATCTTTGGTTCAAGCCTTAGCCCTAGATCGAATTGTGACTTGGCTTTCAGGGCTGGTGGTTTTCAAACAACCCATGGACCATTGACGTATCGGCATATAGAGCTAACATACGACACGTTGTTGTGAGTGTTTGATCGAGCTATCGAACCCACATGCATACTAATTAAAGCATCATCCTATAAAAATCGATTGTCCATAAAGATCTTTCCATGCATATCATATGTGCTTCTGTGTAGCTGAAAAGTGTCCAAAAATAAATTATTATAAATAATAAAAGGCAGTCATCACGGAAATAATTTTTTAAAATACTACTTGTAAGACAAAAATTACTTAAATTACTACATAAACAAATAAAACTATTTGTATCTTATTCTAGAAAAATATAGTTTTATAAAAATAATAGCTTTAGTAGTTACAACTAGAAATTTCCTCAAAGGGAAGGTAACCAATTATCAAAACATATTTAGTGTTATTTATCAAGTTTATTTTCAAATGATTGCACCTGTAACATTTTTATCTTATTTTATGATCTTTAATAATAACTAGGGACCGGATTTATATGCACAAAAATTCTCAAAATATGCTTCTAAAAATGCTGTAATATGCTATAAAATATGTATATATTTTTAAATGTGTACTTAAATATTCGCTTAAAATGTTATTAAAATAATGTAAAAATATGTGAAATGTATGGTTAAAGTTTGGCATATATAATACCACCAATTTTGTTTTTTGATTTATTTAATGTGGTTTTTGCGTTTTTAATTTTGATCATGGCTTCTGATAACAAGTAATCTTTTGATTCTAACATTTTTATCGTAATCGGAATTATTTTAAAATTTGATTTAATATAAATTAAATTAGCTTTCAAATTAGGATCTTTTATCAAATCTTGTGAATTTTTAATTGAAATAGAGTCTTCACTGTTCAATTGAAGAATTATTTCATTAATAATTTCCAAGTTGTCACAATAATAAAAGGCTGCGTTTAACCATGTACCCCAGCGCGTTAATATTAGTTAAGGTGGAAGTGTTAGATTAGGGGCCATATTTCAGAAAGTGTCGTACGCAATGGAGATTTTAAAAAACTTTTTTGACGTCAGAAATGAGTTCATCAACTTGATGAAATTAATTTCTTATTTCTTCGGCAATCCTGTGTATTCGGTCGCAATTTTATCGATATTATGTGGCTGTAAACGTGAAAATACGACAAAAACGAATATATGTGCTATTAATAATAATATTCACTATAAAACTACAAATATGCATTAAATATGCATTTAATAGGTTAAAACGTTGAAATATGAAAAATATGCAAAGTAAAATTAGTGTTATTTTAATGAGAAATATCTAAATCAGGGACAATGCTCATAGGATTTCAAAATGCTTATTCCAATAGATATATGCATTCGTATATAAATCCGATCCCTAATAATAACTTTCAAGGTAAATACAAAAAAAAAAAATAATCATGACATATAGAAATATTCATGTAAAATTTTATTGTTGAAGAAAAACATTTAAAAATGAGTCATTATGTAGGAAATTATCGTTTGAATACTTAAAATATAATTAAAAAAAAAAAACAGTTATATGGAATTTAAAAATTGGATCATATATGGATTGATTAAAAATTTTGTTAAAATGAATATAGTTCTTAGCTATGATTCGTTTTCTGTGTTAGTATCACTGCCAATACCAGTTTACCAAATCCTGTATTTGTTTCACTTTATTTCAACATTACTCTACTTAAATAGTTATCATAAGTGTCTAACTCATCGATATCCGAACATAATTTACGAAACAAGTAAGTATTATTTTATTTGGCTTTCAGGATTATTCAGTTTCACTGATCGGTTAACTTTTATAAATCCCATAGTTCTCCCTTAAGCTAGGAGGAAGATAATTAATACAATCCTATGTCCATCACCCTCAATCTTCTTACTCTCTATCCTATCTATCATATTATTCTTCTTATCTTAACTTATTTCTTTTTTCGTTTTATTTCATCTTGGTTTACTACATATTAAATTAAAAATACATTTTTATAAGTACAATATTTTATTTTTTTTAAAAAAATATCTTACAGTCGTATCAGTTTTATCTGTATTTAAGTACTCAATAAGTTATTAATATCAATAAACGACGACCATTATACATGTGTTTTAAATATACGTGGATAAAGCGCATTCATACACACTGCAGTGATTTCATTATGATTTTTTTAACGATTTGATGAAGTATGACGCAGATGTGCTTATATATAGATTAAATACGAAATAATTTTAAAAATCACCAAATTTCTAAAGTAATTTTACCATTTCGTTTTTGAAACGTATTTGAGTATATGATAATTTGTTAAACACTCGAAAAAAATAACAAATTCGTGACGATATTTTAAAATTCGATTTTTTTTTCTTCTTTTGTCTACAAAAACTGGATTTTTTCCCTTTAAATGACCGTACTTTTCTTATCTTGTCATCATACGATATACGTGCTTGAATTTCAAATCCAAACAAAAAACGAGTACTTTTTTCTCCATATTAAACATCATAGTCCTGTATAAATTATTTGCCAAAAAAAAATAATAAATAAATAAATAAAAATATAAAACCGTCAGACCATTAAAAACTACGTTAAATGATTACATGCGCAAAAAGTATTTGTTTGCATGCAGAATATATCGCATAATCATTGATATTATATAATTTACTATACGTTCCCGATAATTATTTTTAATTAATATTCATTGTTTAAACTTTGTGTACGTATGGTATCAAATCAATTCAATTTTCCCGTTCATCATTGTTTGTTGTTATAATAATCTAGATATATCTCGAAGTTGTAGGAAACGATATTAACAGGTTTAATAAGAACTACCTTTTATTATGAAACCATTTTTCATTTACACTTTAAATACTATAACATTAATTTTGGTTACGTAAACGTATAAATAATAAATTAAAGAGCATATATTTTATATATTAATTTGAAGCATCAAATCATAGTTATATTATTAGGTATGTCGAAGAGGTATCAAATGTTTCATACAAGTGTCATAATATTATTAATACATAACCGATTAAGAAAAAAATTATACATTATAATTATAATACACAACTAATTTAGAGAGTTTAGATTAACCTTGATTTAACGACCAGTACAGATCTTTTTTTGAATGACATGGAAAAACGTCATTTTATTATTTAAAAAAAAATAAAAATAAAAAATAAAAAGATATCAATAACGTCGAGCGTCTTGCATACAGATTTAATATTATCTATTTGATGTTTTCTTTTTATAAATCTTAAAGAAAATTCTTACCTGGATATAAAAATATTACAGAATCACAAAGGCTGGAACCCGATTGAGCACGGTTGCAATCAAACAATAGGAGCCAAAAAAAAACCCAAAAACTACATGATTGACCACAAAAATAGGTGCGACGTTGCCGCTTTGTACCGTAAAATATTTCAATAATAATAATCCACCATTTTTTCTTATCCCAATAAACATATTCTTGAAAGCTCCAATATTAGCTAACTCTCTGCTTCTCTCGGATAAAATATTTTTTATTTCATTATTTTCTATTTCAATTTGCAAAATACACGTTATTAAGAAATATAACACGAGCACACGAGACAACAGAACAGACTGGCTATTATTTACAGCATAAGTACAAACAATAACAATGCAATCGTTGTAAATAAAATTCTGGTTTACTATCTATCAAAGTTATTTTAAGCTTCCGTGGTACCCATCAATCGGTAGCGAAATTTTTTCGACTAATAGTTAGGTTAGGTTAGTTTCCTATTAGTAATCTACAATAATACATACTAGTAAAAATCTGACAACGTTGTACAACAATATTTTTTTTTTTACCGTACTCAATCATGTCGTCAAAAAGGTCGGCCGATAACGACCTTGCTCAATCGGTTATCATGGATTACAAATTACGTTCAAATGTGATCAATGTATATTTTATATGAAATATATTCATTTCATATATATTTATAAGAAGAGAGAGAGAGAGAAAAAGAAAAACATTTACATAAGATCAAAATAAATTTTTCATCATTACAGAATGATGTTATTTATATATGAGCAATTTACTATGTACAATGAATACTATAGTAATAAAATATAAGATATAAAAACTAAAAATTTGAGTTATATTTGTGTGTATTCACAACCAAGAAAAGAGCTCGAATTGTTAACATTATTTTTATTTAAAAATATTAATGTACAATATAGCTATAAGTAGTTTGTTTATTTATTGAAAAACTAGAAACATCCATTAATCATGTTGAATGAATAATATATAAGATTATTACCTTATTACATTAATGATAATTAACATACATGGTCAGCATTATAT